CGCGCATGCAGCTGCGGTGGCGGCTGGAGGAAGAAATGAACACCCGCCGCGCCATCTTGTTGGGCCCCGCCCCCGCCGGCGCCGCCGCTGCCGCCGCCGCCGCCTCCGCTGTCGCACAGGCAGCCAATGGCAGCGGCGGCGGCGCGGCGGAGCCTGACGCGGCGGGCGACGACTCCGCGCTGCTTGCCGCGCTTGAGGATGGCGGCGATGGCGAGGGCGAGGGCGCGCCGGGCGGTGATCGGGCGCCGGCAGGCGCGGCGGTAAAGCAGGAGCCTGGGGAGCAGCAGCCTGGGGTGGTTGAGCGCCCCGTCAGGGCCGTGGAGGGTGTGGGGACGGGCGCGGTGAAATCTGAGCCGCCCGCCACCGGCGAGGTGCCGGGGACTGCGGGCGGCGGCGGCGGGGCGGCGGCGGCGGCGGAGAGGGCAGGGGCCGGGGCGGGCGCGATGCAGGTCGACTCGGGCGTGGGCGGCGGCAATGACTATGTGTTGGAGGGCCTCCTCCCCTCGAAGCCTGTTGCCGGGTCCACGCCCGCGGCGCACCACCCCGCCGTGCGCGCCGCTGCCGCCCGGGGCGGAAGCGGCGGCGGCGGCGCCGCCGCCGCCGCGGGGACGGTCATGGATCAGCTGGCCGCGGACCCAGGGGTAGCAGCTTCCATCCAGGAAGCTGCGCGCGGCCTGGCGCTGGACTGGCGCCAGCTGGCGGCGGAATTTGAATCCGAGGACGCGGCGGCGGCGCGGGAGCTGTGGCAGGTGCGCAGGTTCAAGCACGCACGCGCCATCTGTCGTTGATGGGCGATCTGGTCATATGCTCGCAGCCGAGAAGCTGGTGTGCGCGTTCGGCGGCTGTACGCGGGCATGTTCGTGCCCGCGCGGGGCATCCTGTTGGCGGGCCGGCCCATTTGCGACGCGCAGGTGCGCTTTTAGTTGAAAGCCAGCTGGCCGCATGCTTTCTTAATCCCCTCAACAGGATGAGGAGGGGAGCATAAACGTGCTGCTGGAACTGATGGCTTCGCCCGGCGCACCCCCATGTTCGGTCGAGCTGCGCCCCGCAGCCGACGCCTCGCCGCGCAAGCCCGCGGCCGGGGCGGCCGCCGCCCCACCCGACGGCGAGCCGCAGCCGGCGGCCGCCCACGCGC